GCCTGCCTACTGTGAGGTGTTCTTTGGCATCTTGATGCAAATATGGTCCATTCACTACTTTCTTCCTGAGTTTTCCTGATGCTAAAACCTCTTGACATTCACTGCCATGTCATCCAGCTCCTGCTATGATTCTTCCTGGAAGGTGTCATGGCAGACTAAAATGGTAATTGATGCCCTATTTACTATTAGTTGTGGATTCAATTGCTCCCTAACAATCCCATTGGTATGTATGATTCTTATCCCACTGTTACCCTAATTACTATCAGCCTTTCCTCCAGTGACTCCCATGGGTAGGCCAGAAAGCAGCTAGAAGTACTTATGGAGGAGGAGGAGGAGAATTTATAAGGTTTTGCAGCACACAACTAGCCTTAATAAAGATGTACCTTTGCAGGAAATTGAAAATAAGTACCAAGTAAACAATTGAACTGTAGAGGGCAGTACCTGATGGCAGAATAAGTGATTTCAATTTGAATTAAGAATACAAATATCCATATTTAGAAATGCAGCATCTTATGCAGCTGTCTTAAGAAAGTTCTCCAGGTAATTATAATACTTTCTAAGCTGTGTAGAATACTGAGCTGGTGTACTTAAGGCATCAACTTTTATGTGAATTGGGGTCACTTTTTATTTACATTTTGAGTACCTGCAGTGACAACATGGAAATGCACACTTCCTCCCTCTCTCCCCACTTTTAAGTGATCCCTCTTATTCTGTAGAATTTTCAAATTCCAAGTCTGGTCACTGTTTGGAAACATGGTTCTACTTGTTGGTCTCTGATATTCAAGTTTCCTGGAGATGCAAGGAAAAAACATATTAAATCCAATGAAAAACCATTGTTCTTTCTACTTTTATGACTCTACTTTCAGATGGGACAGAATAGACATTTAATCAAACAGATTTCATAATTGACTCTTAATTTTACTACTTCCTAGTTTCTGCTTCTCCAAGAAGTTAGGCCCTGTGACTTTCAAAATTACAAACAGTAGTCAAAGATTACAGCAAATCTAAGAAGAATTAGATGAATCTGTAGTGTCCTTTTGGAATGACAAATTGATTGATTGATTTTCTTTACAGTAGTATCAAAAATACGTATCAGTGTTCCTGGACTCATGGTAGGGCTGAGCCTAATCATGAAAAGGATTTTAAGATGACATATGGTCTGAAGAAAGTCATTCAGTTCTGCATTATTGGACTTGCTTCTGTCATTCCTCTTCCATGGTGAGTCTAGTTTTCACTGTGGTGGTGAATTAGGTTTAAACTAGATGCTTTTTTAAAAATACAAAAACAAAATCAAAGCAACAAAAGTCTGATGGGGCTGGATAAATATTTTTTGGGATGCTTAGGGACAAAATGTTCTCTATAATTCATTTTAATTTTCTGTGCTATTTTGAATATGTCTCATTAGTATCTTGATGATGATGTTACTGATAATGATGACTATGATAATGATTTCCAATCTGTTCTATTTCACCTCTTTGACATGATCATGGTGCTGGAGGGACAATAAAATATTTCTGCTCTTAAGTGCATCTAAGACTTTAATTGGACTTCACTTCCTTCACAGAATTCTGTAGGTCTTAGATCTTTACATAATTCAGCTTATTTTTATGTTTCTTCTGACATACCTGGTTCTTATTTTCACAAAGCAAACTGGGTGGAAGCTCATTCTTATATATATCTTTTTACTTCTTTTGACAAACAGTTCTTCCACATACAGACATTTGCTACCACATACTACCTATATACTACCAGGCTTTGCACAACTTAACATTTCTTCTTCCATTTTCCCATTTTTAGTACCAAATTCATTTACATGCTCTACTTTTCCCCCTGTTTATCATTCATTGTATTTTCCCTGTCAAAACCAATGGTTTGGTCTTTGAAGCCTTAATGTTCAGATTCATAATGTTTGTTGCATGATACAATCTATTTAATATTCACTAGTAATCATTCTGGTTTTCAGCCAATAACAGCATTGCAAAAGTATCACATGCTAACAAAGACACCTTCAACACAAGTATTCTGCATACATTTGTACCTGAAAATATTCACCAAACAATATTCACCTTACCTTACTCCTTACTCAGTACTGAACCATTCATTAAGCATTCCATTTATTCTTACACCTACTTCACTTCCATCATATACTGCTCTTACAGAGTTCAGAAACCAACATGCAACTCCATATTTGTGCAAAACATTTTATAATTCAAGCCTTTTCACTTTATCAGATACTTTCTCTAAATCAACAAATGTATAATAAACTTTTGCACATATATACATTTCTCAGTGATCTGCTTTGCCTGGGTTAGTACCATACCACAATTCCCAAATTTTGCTTACTGTCACCTTACTGTCTATCTATCAATCATAATTCTCCCAAGCCCCTTTCCAGGTATGCTTAACAAATTAAGTAGTATTTACTCTTGCTACTTTCCCTTTTGTATGGGGAAACAATAATGGCATTTTTTCAATCTTAGCTATGGATGCAGTCTTCACATACCCGTTACACAAGTCAGACAGCCACTTTATAAGCAAAGTGCATCCATATTTAAATATTTCTCCAGCTGTGTTGTCTACTCTTGTATGCTATTATTGTTCGACATTCTCCAATGAGTTATAGCTTCCTTTTCATCACTTTTTCTTGGATACCAGCATTTACAGTATTTATTTCAATTATACTCTTTGTCACATCTCTATCATACTCATACAAAACTCTAAATTCTTGTTCCAGTCTTTTATCAGTTCAGGCTCATCCCATATCATTTTATCAGCTTTATTATTTATATTTATATTCTTTTATATTCTTTATATTCTATTCATTCTTTTAGCCTTTTTATTCATTTCCAAGATGTATTTTCTGCATCAGAACTCCTGTGTATTTTTTCTGCCTTCTTTAATTTTAACCATTCCTTGTTCTCTTAGACTTTGCAACTGTCTTTTTCTGTCTATGCACATGATAAAATAACTTTCATTTTTATATTTTGCAGGGATCATTATCTTACTTGTATTTTTTTTCATCCACAGACTCTTTTATTTCATAATTCTACCAAGTATCCTTTTCTCCTTACTCAGTACACTTCTGTGGCACTCTGTAATAATGTCTTTCTCTCTGTTCCAGGGAGTTTCCACATTCTTTGTTTATATTCACTTTCCCCACTCTCTCCACCAGTTTCTAGCACAAGGTGCATAAAGCCCAAGTGGAGGCAGGCATTTTCTCTCTGCCGATCCCTTGTTCTAGTCCAGGGGGCTCTATGGCCAACTTATCTCATCATGGCCAATTTAAAGTTAAAGAAGCCTACAAGTTGGGCTGGACTCTGGGTGAATTGCACCCATGCAGTTTCTTGCCAGTGTTACAAAAGTGGTTTGCTACTGCTTTCTTTGGGGATGATGATGATGATGATGATCCCATCCAACAGCCTCAGATTTCCCAGCAGTCTCCCCTCCAGCTATTAACCGAGTCCAACTCTGCTTAACTTCGGAGATGGGCAAGGTCATCTAGGTGCTGCCACCTGCTGCGGATACCCCACATTTACGGCCTGGCAAACCCGCTCCTCCTCCAGACCCCGTGGCCGAGTCCGTTGCTAAGTGACCGCGCGCGTCCCTCCTCCCCTGCGGAAGGCCAGCCCGAGCGGCCGCAGTTGGCTACCGCGAGGTGGGTAGAGCAGGTCGAACCCCGCAGAAAACGCTCCGGCTGCGTCTCCATCTCCATCGCGCTGAGGCCGAGCGGCCGCCTCTGCTGGTGAGGTGAGCGCCTTTGCCTTGAGAGACGAAGCGGGCTGGGGCGGAGGGCACCGACGCGCTTCCTCCTCCTCCTCCTCCTCCTCCTCACTCTAGCCAGGGCCATGCTGGAGGAAGGGAGCTCTGTCGACTCGCAGGGGACATTTTGCACCCCTCCCCCCATCATGAATCCTCCTGCCCTCTCCCTTTTAGGAATACCTGGATG